GATTTGTGGGTGAAACAAAAAACATAATCATGAAACGAAAAGATACCAGTCAAGAACAACTGTACAACCATCAGTGGAGCAATATCAGCTTGATTAACATCCACCCTCTCAATGCCTTCAAGACCCCACTCTCTAGGTGTTGGCATGTTGTGTTTGTGTTCATCAACAAATTGAACAGCACCCTCCAACTGATCACAGAAAATTATGCGCGGGATGTCTAACACCAGCCCCCCAAGCAACAAGAGGCGTATCAGTATTTGAAGGATGCCCATCTCCATGACTTCCTAAAACAAATATAGAAGTCACCAGACTAAGGGCAAGAAACACAAAACTTGAAAAATAACCTGAATCAAATATCTCAAAACAAAATGACAATGAAATCTCAAGAAGGCAAAAGGAAAATGAAAGCCATGCCTATGCCAGTAGGCTATAACAAATAAAAAGCCCAAACGAAAGACAAGTAATATATAAATAAAATCGTAAATCCTTCTGCTTTGCTTTAAATAAACAACTATATTACTGGGTAGAAAATTGCTTAAGAAGAAAATTAAGACTTGATATTAACCAAATGAGACATTCTTCTCTGTCTGCATAAATCCATGCATCTGCATATATGCCTAAATGTTTATCTGAGTAGAATACATATATGCAACATGCCCTGCAAGAATAGGACTTCGCATGTAAGAGAAAGGAAGACGAGTTCAAAAAATTTTTAACCTTTGTCACTCATTCCATGATCTGCTGTGAATATGTAGGCTGCCAAGTCATCCTTGAAGTAACTCTGAATGAGATTGTAAACTCTTTCAGCAATATGATCAACAACCTTAACATTATTGAGATAAATTGATGAATAGGGCCGATGAGCATGACCGTTGGAATCACAACCAAGAAGGTGAAGAAATATGACAAGATGGTCCTGTAGAAGTAGCTGCTTCAACTTTGGATCTTCATTTGACCTATTCAAAAGGCTCGCTAATTGATCAAATGACCACTCATCCAGAAAAGATGCATCTGCATGAACACTAAGTATTGATAAAGCATAGAAGAAATTAAATTTGGATGTTTCTAGTGACTACAACAATAATTACTCTTTCGTTCACAAATCCTCTTGCCATCAAGATCTCAATATGTTTGTTCTCACGATTGCTTGACCCTTAAAATATTAGAACATATGAGCGTTTTACTTCAACATAATTTTGCCTATAAAATTTTCTCCATTTGCTTAAGCCACTCAATGGATAGAATCTTAAAAAAAAAGGGGGGGGGGGGGGGACGACATGTACAGTCCAATAGAACATTGAAGTATAGAGATAAATCTTGAAAAAAGGCAAATTTTTAACATCCATCGACCTTTTCTGAAGCATGTGAGCCTCTTTCTAATGGGAAGAATTTGACATGCTCAAAGGATGTATGGATAGCATTCACCATATCTACAACCAAAAAGCGAAGTTTTATAAGTAATAGGCCACATGTTATAGGTACTTTCTCCATAACAACTTTTGTTCAGTCTAAGCCCAAGAATAAAAAACTCAAACAGGCGAATCTACCTCAGATAACAACAAACCCAACGGAGTAAGTAATCTTGCTACATACCAGTGGCAAAATCTTCATATTCATGAGGATATGTATTCCACGTGCTATGCGGCAGAGCACCACAGAATATGGGAACAATATCAGGGCTGCCATATGAAATTGTGTGACGGCTGCGATTAAATACTGAATCAAATTCAACTGGATTTGCTTTCCACCCTGCCAATCAGTGACATGCTATCATCAGTCTTTAGCAAACAGTCGCCTAAGCTGGTGCAAGAATGAACTACTAACATAGTATACAGTAACACTAACATAACGAATCCCACCTTTGGTGACAGCGCTTGGATCCTCATAAAAGCCAGCAATAATAGCCACATGCCCAGGCCTAGATTCTGTAGGAGGACGAGCATGGGAAACTCCCACCGACCTCGTTCTTTAATCACACTCCTCAAAAACGGCGCCCGATAATTGCCATCTGAACCAGGCTCGAAAAACTTGTCTGCCCTCAGGCCATCCGCTGCAACAATAATTTACCGTGAATACCGATAAACATCCGAAGTCGAAAATCGAAAAAATCACCAATAATGCACAAAAAGACAAGGAAGCACAAGCAATGAAGTCTTAGGGATAAATTGTCGAGCAGGTGGCATGCAACTATTACCAACTAAAAGAACAAGGCGCTTCGCCGGAGAAGTGAAGCGAGGAGTGACGGGTTCCATGCCGTGAACAATTGGGGTCTTGAAATAAATGTCGAAGATGCTAAGCATGTACACTGCGTGCAAGACCACCCCGAGAACCACCAGCCACTTTTCTTTCCTCTTGAGCCATTTTTGTCTAACTTTGAGGCTGCTTTCTGATCTCTTTCCTCCGCCCAAGATCCCATCACCGTCGCCTCTCATCTTTGTTTCAATTCTCTCTTCAGTCGGAAAGTTTACTGCTCGCCAGACAGATCCCGACCGTCAATACAAACAGTCTTAGAAGTTACGACGGCGGGATTTCGCCGAGGCGTGAAACGCGACCAGTAGTGTGTACGTAACGGTAAATTTAACGGTACTTCATAACGGCAATCTTGGTCACCAACATCGTGGAAATTAAGAATAAAACCAAAATTACCTTTTAGTCTTTCTTTCTTGGGCAAAAAACCGTTGTGGTCCCGATTCAACTTTGCGTACTTTTAGTCCTCCAACTAATAAATGCGTAAATATTTTTTCAATTAATAAAAGTGTGTAGTCATATAGTCTTTCCGTCTAATTTGGCTGTTAAAAAGGGACAGGATGATACAAAAAATAAAGGGATAATTTTAGAAACCTCCCTTGAGGTTTTTAACAATTTCATTTAGCTCCTTTAAGGTTTTAAAAATTATACATACCTCCTTTATTATTTAAAATGATAATACTACCCTTAAATATTTTAATAAAATTTCCTTGTTTGATATGACTTTTAAAATTATTTTTTCATTTTTTCCTTCTTATTCCTTTTTTTTAAAGTTTTTTTGCCAATAAAATTGGAGAACTACCACTATCACCTCTAGTTTGTATTATAACCGAATGTCCAACTAGTGATTTTTTGACGAGTTAACTTTATATGCAATCCAATGTATTTCCTGATCTTTGTTTTCTATTTTTTGGTATTAAAATTAACAATAAATGAAAAGAAAATGGCCCAAAATTACTATTAAATTATGATAATCCAACTACTCGAAAAATTCATAAACTCTAAATGAATTATTTCAATATTTTTTTCTATCTTATAAATTTAAATCCATAATAAAATACCATCAAAAGTATCCTATCATAGTGATAAAATTATTATTATAGTTGTTTATCAAATAGTAGGTATGGACTTGAAAATTTTTGGACATTTTTCTTATAATTATACTAGATAATCTTATAATTATATAGAAAAATAAATTAAAACTCATTACACAAGGTATTTTTGGATATTCATTTAAAAATTTGAACAAGTCAATATTATTTTAAGATTTTGTTACTAAAACAATCAAATCAAGGGAAGTAAGTGTAATTTTTCAAATCTCAGGAAAGCTCAGTGAAATTGTTAGAAACCTCTAAGGAGGATTTTGTAATTATCCCAAAAAAAAATGCCATGTGAGCAATTCATGATGCATTTCCCATCCATTTGGACGGAAGGACTACAACTACACATTTTTATTAATTGGAAGGCTACATTTACGCACTTATTAGTTGGAGGACTAAAAATGCATAAAATTGAAAGTTTGAGCACCATCGCGGTTTTTGCCATTCTTTCTTTCTTTCTTTTGTTTTTCGTTTTGGAGCATATATAAAAATTTTAAAATAAATAAATAAAAAAACATCTAACAAGCTCCCGCATGTCAAGTCCTCCTGGGAAGAAGTCCTCTTTTTCATATCAAAACGGAAAGGGTGACTATGACGTACGAAAATTTTGTTTAAGAAGTATCCTTCCCATTTCCTCAATTTTCGTACTTCTACAAATAGTAAATTTTAGTAGAAGTTTAATCTAAATTTCTTACTATAAGTATATCTTCCCATTTAGAAGCACAAAGAAAAGCAAAGGAAAAATATGTATTTTTTCCTAACTTACTCTAAGAGAAGTGGTTCAATTAGGTCGAAAGTATCGACGGAGCTGAACCACTATCAAATTAAAACGAATATAGATTTAGAAGAAGTCGCATAAGAGGTAAGATTTGAACCTTTAACTCCCACCCCACAATCCATGTGACAAGAGGTAAGGGTAATATGTTGGCCAATTCCTCTAGCGAAAGTTGGCCAATTCCTCTAGCAAAGTTGGTTGGGAAAAACATGTATTTGGTTGGTGATTTTTCCATTCCCATAAAATGAACTATCATCCTCCTGACACTTTCATTAACTATACAAGAGAAATGCTACTGTGACATTTGTCTCGGTCCCGTTTGACAAGTGAATTTTTTGAGTGTTTGTCTAAAATTTTATTGTAACTTTCTATATAAGTTTTTTTAAAATATATTTTTCCAATATATTAAAATGTATAATTTTTTTTTTGAAATTACTATAATTAAAATTTTTTAAAAACTTGTCCGCCAAACAAGATCAAAGCCGAGTACAACTAAGGATGGCAATAAGGGCGGGTGCCTGCGGGGGGCTCTCGGAACGGGGGTTGGGACGGGGGCGGAGGGAGTGGGAGGCGGGGAATTTGTAGGCAGCGGGGCGGGGATGCCCCGTTGCCATCCCTAAGTACAACAGTGGATTTTTCACGCGGTTACTGATCAGCTAATAAGTAATACAACAGTAGTGTATTTAGAAGGACATGGGCGAAAAGAAGGTCGCTCAATAAAGGCGTAAATTAAATTAAATTTAGAAAAAATTTGCACCAATGATCATCTCTCATTGTAGTACAAAATGGTTTGGATTGGATTTGGGTTTGCCTTACCCACGATCTCATTCAATTATTGTCAAACACTCGAGAGAGCAGAGTAGGCTCCCCTTTTACTCGGAAAATTTGTAGAGTATATTTCGTAGCAGTACAAAGATAAATCCGTTGAAAGTCAAGGTACTAAACATAAACATAAGCAGCGCAGAAACGCAATTCATCTTCTTCATCGATGATGAGACTTGAGAGACACTTTTTACTAGTACAACTTATTATTATGATAAACCTCTTAATTAATCAAATTACTACAAGAAACAAATCAAACCCGCACCGCTTGATCTATGATATCTAAGAAATCATCAGCTCGTCAACCCAAAGAAGATCAGATAGCTTTTAGACCATCTCCTTGAGGATGAACAAGGAAAACTGAAAGAAAGTGGCGTAGTAGTAATTTGTAAAGGGGGAATTAAGCTAATTAGGGGCATTTGAGCCTGCCGCCACGGGTGGTCATTGTAGCATAACATTTGCCACATTTTTCTCGGTTGCCGTATTGCCCTGGAGGAACGCACTTGCATCTGTCGCAACAAGTCACGCATGCCCTTAAGCATACATTCTTTCTCGAATGCAACTTGCACCTAACCGCGCATAGGGAAAGCATTCTGCACAAGCGTACATAATTTATAGGTACATGATTCAAGAAAACCGTGTGATATCCCTTGAAACTAAATTCTGTAAAGCAGTCTAATAGTGGGCCGCAGGTTGCTCACCTTTTGTGTTTCTTGGCGGGGGCTTCATTGGGGAGGGAGGAGCTGGTGCTCTGACTGGCGGAGGAGGGGGCAACGGCACTGGTGGTTTCTTGACAGGTAGAGGTGGAACTGGCTTATAAACTGGCGGAGGAGGGGCAAGGCCTTAAGAGGTGGAGAAGGAGGAGGCAGTTTCTTGGCTGGTGGCGGAACAGGGACTGGTTTGTAAATTGGCGGTGGTGGTGGTGAAGCCTCAGTTGCGGGGGCTGCGGGGAACTTTCAGATGCCTTGATTGGTGGGGGAGGCGCTTTTTGGGTGATGTCCTGTAAAGCAACTTGTGGTTCTATCATTCTGTGTATGTAGCATTGCTCGTAAAATCAAAGATTACAATCAAAGCTCGTACGTACTGTGAAAAGATATTAGGCAGCGGTCTTTAGTCTAAAGTAAACAACTATCACAATTACTGCAGAGTATCAAATCGATACAGCCCATTTTAGCTACCAAAATCAGTTTTTTTTCAAGGCATAACTTGCATAATTTTATCAGTATAAGCTTCCAATTCATGATTATTATGCCAAAAAAAGTCTGAGAAAAATGAAATAAAAGGAAACAAAAAGAAAAACAAAGATAAAGACGAGAAGGTTGCATGTCATGAAAAACAATACGGTGGACTTTCTACGTTCTCTGCAAGTCATGAGAACTCTTACACTCGATGTTAAACAATACAAAGTAAAGGTCTCTTTTAACTTCTGCGGATACAAAAACAAAAGGAGGGCCGAGAAGGCGTGTTAGCATATAACAGATCTTTTATTTGTCATGCCCTACCGAAGAATGGGAGTACTTCACAGCCACTCTTGTACTGTACAAGTAATAATGCTAAGTGATAAGCTGTGAGCCGATTTTACAGAAAAAATGGGCATCAATCAACCCGTCGAAGTGTTTTCCTTTAGCTATTTTTCGCAGTTTATTTGCAGAAGAGGAGTAAGGAGCTGAAAATTGTCTGAGCGTTACCTTGACAAAGAGTTCCTCGCCCACGATGAAACCTTTGAATCAATGAAGGCAGGAAAAAGACATTTAATTAGAGACGGAAGTTAAAATTCAGGGAACCATGAAGAACAAAAGCTTAGCAGTTAGAAATAACAAATGCATGAAATATATACACTACAGTAGAAGTGTAAATGAGGTATACCCTTGTTGTGATTAGGAAAAAAGAGGATAATGCCAGAAGCATAACTACTTTTAAGGCCATTTGCTTGCTTAGGAACTAAAGAACTTGGAGAAGTTTGCCAGTGAGTGAGCGACTAGCAGTATCCAACTACGGTTGTTTATATAGAGACACCAGACGAGAGTTAAAGTGGCGACTAATGTGGTGGCAGCTACCTCGCCTGAGGAGGGCCTGCCTGCTAACCAAAATTAATTGCATTACAGACGACTCGGTCCTGATTCACCACATCAAATTGATTACTACCAAAAAAGAAGAAATGATCAGATATGGATTTTTGTGCTGAATCCAACCTAAGCGAGGGAGGAAGGCTCAGGGCCAACAGGCATGCTGTTGGTCAAACCTGCAGCAGCAGCAGATAATACTAGTATATATCTTTTCTTATTTGCCATTAGATGGACTGGTACGATACTTTTTACTGCCGACAGACACATGCCATACCAACTCTGCCTTGGAAACTGGTAATATCAATTTTTTTTTAAGACATATTCTGAGCACTTGCTTTGCGATTGATCAATGAACCATCCAAACGTCAGGTATGATAATCTGCGGCAACTGGCTTCTGGATGGTGATCATTTTACGAGAAACTGTGGTTTGGAGTCTTTTAAGTAATGGATTCATCCTGTCTCCTTCCTTCCTTCCTGCTAAGGTTCCATTAGTACGAGTTTGACTTGCCAGTTGGCTCCCATCTCCGAAGAGCTGGCAAGCCATAGTGAATGGGCTATGGTGGTACCCGTACAAAAGCTTTTAATGGCAACCCAATGTTCCAGAGCCTTCAATTTTTTGGGGCCCCTCGCGCGGATTGGGGAGAGGAGAGGGGTGGGAGGATCTGGCGATCATAAAACATAAATGTAATTTGATTTCTGCAGCTGGACTGTGCGAGTCAGATATTCTCTACCTCTTTACTGATTTTTGGTCGTGTGCTATCTCATGTGCTTTTAACCACCGGTTCAGTGACAACTGCCAAAGCATTAAAGTTTGATGAGATGGAAGTTAAGAATTCAAATCTTATCTCTTATCAATTGCTATGTTAAAAGTGATTTTGTTTAAAAAATTCAAACGGATACATAGTGTACTTATTTGATCTATGATAGTTCAGTCCTATCCATATTACCCCTGAACCTTCTTAGGTCTGACTCCTCTCTCCATGTAGGATAGATTAGGTTATACAACAGTTATCGTCTTTAGAAAAAAAAAAAAAAAAACTTTGATTTTGGCCATGTCCGCCTGTCCAAATTGATCATACTAGGGAAACTTAATTAGGACTACGTTCCAATCCTCCCGGTGGATAAAGATGCAGAGAAAAACGATGGTCTTGTCAAGACACGGTACGTTGTGTATGATTAGTGTACTTGTTTTAGGTTAAGGTGTACTTCCCATTACACTTCTTGTATTCCTTGAGCATGGTATGCTTTCTATATATATATTCTATGGCTAAAAACACTGTTGGAGAAAGTATGGATTGATGAAACGGGAAAAAGAAATATGGATCGATGAATGATCTCCATCCCAACAAAACGCACCAAGTAAAGAGATGAAACGGAGAATTACTTTGTCATGATAGACTACAAAAAGAGTCCTTATGGAGTGATAATTTAGAAGTTGGAAAGATGAAGATTTTAGAAGTTATGCGATGTTTAATTTGATATATAATAATTGTGTAAGGAGGAGTTTATAATTGTGTAAGGATAAGTAGTTTTGTATTTACGTAGTTTAAAGGTTATAATATATTGACAATTAAGCAATTAAGTTTTACAAGTATATGTGTTTATTGGTTAATAGCTAATTTGAAAGTTAAAATTGAAATCACAAAAGATCACACTAAATTGTTTTTACCAAACCAAACTCCCACTTTCACTTTACTATTGTTGAGAGAGAGGGAGAGAGTTTGTAATGAAAATGGACAGTTGAGCTGTCTTTCATGTAGATTCATAATGGGCTTTAAAAGGCTTTTAAGACGGTTGTGGACCAGGGTCTGGCTTCTGTCACATGATTGACCCTAGGCCCAATAGATTCATCTATTTTGGCCTAACAAAAATTTCTCGTTTCTTCTCTTTCGTGGGAGGGTGGAATTGGTGGCGGGCTACTGACAATGATTTAAATCTACTGGCGTTTAAGTGCAAATCTACAGCGACGACGGCGTTTTAGTGTTATAACTTTCTCCGGCGGTGTTTATGCAAATGCATTACTTTTTTTTTTTTGGGATAATTTCATAAACCTCCCTTAAGGTTAAGGTTTTGATGACAAAGTTAGTCCAATTGGAAAAAGTTACATCAAAAAATTACTTTAAGAAGAAAGATGAAAATTTATTCCATAAATACTCTTTATGCATGTATTTTAAAGTTCATATTTAATAAATTAGACAACATAAATAAGTACTAAAACTACACTAATGATTACAAAATTCAACAAAACAGACTAGTCATCTCTTTTAACATGATGTTTACTATGATCTTTGTAATTTTGAATAAAAAAATTTCGAATTTTGCCTTCTTTTCCCTCCTTTCTTCCTTATTTCCATAAAAATTACTTTACAATTGTTATAATTTTAAGAGTTTCAAAAAAATTTGAAATGAAGGAAAAGAAAACCAAATTTTGAAAATTTTTCTGTTCAAAATCATGATAATCATAGCAAACATCATGTTAAAAGAGATGATTAGTCTATTTTGCTGAATCTTGTAATTATTAGTATAGTTTTGTTATTTTATTTGTGTGTCTAATTTATTAAATATGAACTTTTTGAGTGGTAAAATGTGTGTATTAATTGTTTCTAACTTTTAATTATTTTTATTCTTTTATTAATACGACATAAAAACACGCATAAAGGGTATTTATGGATTAAAAGTTTCATCTCCCTCCTTGAAATACTTTTTAATGTTATTTTTTTAATTGGATTAACTTTGTTATCAAAACCTTAATTTCAGAAGAGATTTGTGTAATTTTACAAATTTCAAAGGAGACTAGTAAAATTGTCAAAAACTTCAGGGGATACTAGTGAAATAGTTAGAAATCTTAGGGGAGGTTTCTGAAATTATCACTTTTTTTTGTGCGAAAGTATGTGCATGCATTTCGTTGCCAATTTTAAAATTAAATAGCCGTCACACCACACGAAAACTTCAACATTTCAGAAAAAGCACTACTAATATTTTCACCAAATCATATAGTAGTATATATATTTCGAGTAAAGCAAAAATAACACAAGCTTTTGGATGGCACTTATTTGTTCAAAAATTATTTACTTGCATCATAAATACATATTTCAATAGACATTTTTATCTTTTTCAATCAAAATGTTACAACAATTAACTTATTATCCAAACATGTTGACCCTTCTTTGACAATAAAATACACGTAGTCGTGCTTGTTCAGCACAGACTTCAGAACTCACAAGAGTGCACTTAAGCACAGTTCTAGGTCAAGCACAAGCCGTGGTTTTGATCCCCCTGCCTACCGTCCAACAAGGAACTTCGAGTTCTTGTGTGCCCAACTCACTGATTTGTTTAGCACTAGATACGGGTAGTTTCGATCAGGGAACGGTTGAAATTGTATGAACTGGTACAGTTGATAGGAGACTGATCTCTCGAATGACAAAGAAATTATCCAGGAGAAAAGAGAAGTTCAAGCAATCACAAAATAGGCCATCTTTCATAATGAAAAAAAAAAAAAAACGGAGCAGATTCTTACTTTTTTGCAAACAACCACTAGGAAAACATAAATTACCCAGTGAAGCCTGGGATGATTATTCGTTACATGATCAAGCCGATACAATAGCAAATGAAAGAACAGAAATCACTATGGAGTATAACAAGAAATAGAAGGGGGATCTGTGGACGATTTAATATTTCTTGGGGTGGGGCAGGGGTAGTCGTTATGGTACCACACTTTGTCCCAGGTGACGCACTTCTTCTCCGGACGTCCGGGGACGCACTGGTACTGGTCGCAGCAGGGTACGCAAATCCTCAGGCATCCCCTTTTCGACTCCGCCTTCTGGCAGTATTCCATGCACAATTTGACACAGTCACCTGGATAGATACATGGATACAAAGTCACATTGATTGCAAGGAGGAAGTTCAGTTTGCTGTACTAGTAGTTTTAGATACTAGATAGATAACGAGAAGATGGCTTTCTTTCAATTCCATTCAAGGCCATGTTTATCGCTGAAGACATGAATAACATCTGATCATACGCAGTAGGATGAAGAATTCAGATTTAGAAATTTAGTACCATGGTTATGCTTAGACGGGGAATGAACTGGAGAAATTTTGGGAGGGTATGCAGGAGCCTTCTTGGGCGGATAAATTGGAGCCACCTTTGGGGATAGGTGGGAGCTTTCTTAGGGGATAGGCGGAGCCTTCTCTGGTGGGTACACTGGAGCCTTCTTTGGTGAGGGGACCGGCGGCTTTACTGGTGCATGAGCAGGGGATTTGGCACCATGACGATGCTGCAAATATATAGAAAAGACATCAGTTTAAGGACTAGAGACTAAAAACTGCCATACCATACCATGTTTCGTCAACTTTGATAGAATGAGGATGGATTGGCGGTCTTGTACGACGAAGACCAAGAAAAACTCTTGGATTGCCATTGCATAAACTAATTTAAGATTTGGTCTCGTGACATGATTAAATTTAGGAAGTCCGAGGTTCACACGTGGAGAACAGGAAATTACAAGTAAATATGGTAGAAGGTGGGGAAAACTTGATCAGAATTACCTCTGTGAGGATATCCTCTTCCATTGATGTGACCTACAAGTACAAAGTAGCAGGTTAAACAAACAATGAACACTAGTACTCACTAAATTGAAGCACAAAGGAAAAGCTATTCCTATTCTTGTTAAGAACGCGATTAGAGAAGGCAACAAAGAGGAAAATGCGCTGCTGAATGGTGTTTGAGCGTGTATGCATTGCAATGACTTAATTCCACATTGAGAAAGGCTAGATCTTAACCCCTTTATCTTATGTCCACACCTTTCACAAGTTAATGTCTTGAAGGTGCAGAATACATGGTTTGGATTTAGTCTTTCCCTTCCACACATTATGAATGATACATTCGTGCATGAAAGTGAAGGGAGTATTAGTTGAGAGCCCTAGTAAATGTGATAAATAAGTTACATACATACCTTGGTGCTAACTAGGAGCAGGAAGGCCAGAAGAAAGAGCGCAGACTTCAGGGCCATAATGGTCAGTGGAATCTGGCAAGAAGAACTAGATACTGTTGTGGAAATGTTGTTAGTTGATGAATTGAGCAGTGAAAAACACTCGGTTTATATAGAATGAAGTAGAGAAACAACAACATGCTATTGCTTGTTAAAGCAGAAACATGAAAAGCTGGAATTAATGCCGATTCACTGTCGATACCAGCTTCCCCGGATGAAGGCAGCCAAGGAGATTATGAAATTTCTGAGATGCGGACTCTCTGGGCTCAATGCATTTGTCTGCTAAACTAATATTTTCTCTCTCCACCGCAGTTCGATGACAGCAATAGTTTAAGGCTTTGCGGCACCAATCTAGGCAAGATTTCTTAGTTTTTCTACCCAAAAACTTTTGACCTTCTTGATCGAACTGCTCCACTTGTCGGTTTATAGGAACAGCTAGGTTACGACCTTCGGAAGCATGTGGATCGAAGCTCAAAAATTTGACCAAATTAGGGCAACATTATATGGGTTCTCATTAGTTTCATGTACTGTAATGTAATTGCCTTCTATCACTTTGCCAGATGAAAGCTATCAGATATTTGTGTCCCCAGGAGTTTTAGGTCCTACAAATTCTGGAGTGGAGTTGAGTTTCATTTAGAACCGATGTATTTAACTGATTTTTCATGGATAAGACAAATGACCAGAGCATGCAAGATCAAGCAATAGCCTTGGGTTATGCAGATCTGCCCGTTTAGTATTGAGAATAGAAGCAGAAGACGAGTTTTAATTTTTAGTTTAAGTATCGTATTGAAGAGATTGCAGTTGGCGCTGTAATTGCAAGAAAGTTTTGTTTATATTTCAACCCAACCATGATATCACCTGCCTGCATAGTGCATGCCCTGATCTTTGATATAAAGAAACGTCTCCCGCAGACATCAAAGTTTGCTGGGTCGACTCCAGATTTTATATTTCATCTAGACAGTTACATCCAGCTCCAAAATACTTGCAATGACGAAGAATTTATTACTAGGCGACATCTTGCAGCGGCTTCAGTTCAAACGCACCCCACTGGCACTGAATATAGCCGTCTTCCAACTTTATCGCCTATTTACATGTAATCAACAATTTAGTACCTTCGGGGATGAACCTGTCAAATCTAAGAGGCTCTTTCTGTAACACAGCGAAAGATCCCAAGCAAGAAGCTGCCGGGCAAACCGGTAAATCAGCAATGAAAATACATGTGCAGGAACATAGAGGTAATTATTACCCCCTGGTTAATCACTTCTCCGAATGTTACTGAGACTGAATAATATAAAGGCATCTCAGATAAATAAATCCTTGGCAGATTGCCAGAAGCAATCATAAGAAGAAACTCTTCCAATCCATCTAGCTGAAAAGATGTTGCCGACGATGACAAATATGTTATTCTCCAGTTACTAACTTACTAATGAACTTCCCCTTTTTGTACATTTGTAATTAATCACTTCCTTCTCTAACCCAGAAAAAGAAAAAGGGAAAAAAATACCCCACACACACAATGAACCTCCACTTTCCTTTGCATCCCTGTAACTGTTTAAATACCAAAGCCTTCCGCTATCTTTCACCCGACTATTCCTTTTCCACTTTCTCAGTCAGTCATTTGTCCAGATAAGATGATTATCAAATCACATGCATGAAATTCTCAAATCAATCTAAATTTAGGAGCTCCAAACAGTACACAAGCTCAAGGTAATCTAACAATTTATAGACATTCAAGCACAACACTACACAGGAAGGGCAAAGGGATTGTACTTCCCTCATTTTCAATATATCTATTGCAACTTTAAAGCATACGGCGAATGCTAGACTACCAGAAACACCCTTTCCATGCCAATTGTTTCATCACTTGCATGAACACAAACTACTATGTGCTACCAGGAAAAAAAAAGTTAGCGCCTAAATTTCCAGAAGTGGAAATAATGGCTTCAATAACTAGGAAGATGATTATTAATGGAGCTTAATGCTAAAAGTGTAATATAAAATTGCAGCTATACTAACTTTAGAAATATTAAACGCAAATAGCTATATGTGTATATCACCCTGATTTCACAGCAGATTTCGAGGCAACAAAAAGTGTATGAAAAGTAGCAAGCATAACACACATTACCAAGATTGGCACACTCTTAATACGGTAATATGTTTACAAGCATAAAATACGTACATAAACAAAATGCCTTGACATGACTATCCTGACAAAAGTGAAGAAATAAGGCATGTCATTTTCAAAGATGGAGGGCAAAGCCCATTAAACATTTACAGTAGACTACATGAAGAAGCTTTTGCAACATCCGCTGCCAAGGTCTCCCTTGCTAGCCTCCGGAGGATCCCCCCCCCCTCCCACAGCCCAGTGGTCCAGATGTATGAGTCCTGATTGCAAACTAAAACTCAATTTAGCTAGTCCTAACTCAAACTCCAATTAGCTGATGCGTCCACACAGCTATTGCTCACCAAAAATGACCAATCTCACAATTATTAGGACAAATTGAGTGCCCTGAACCCAACATGATGCTTGGAGGGAGGATGCTGAAAAAGCAATAGGAACAGTAGTGCATGGAGCAATGGAATTTAGAATGTGCTAAGAAGCATGCTCATTTGCTCCCCCTCGTGAGATTTTACATGGACACCTGCATGCTACGTTCTGCGTAAAGCCTCAAAATGCTTAACAATGTGGAAAGATTAGGCAAGTTCATGGTCAAACTAAAGGATAAAATCCACAATCAATCTTGGAAAAAACAAACAAGATAGATTGGTAAAAAAAAATGAAGAATCTATACTGCAAAGGTCACTGGATGATGAGCAGCCCAGCTCTAAATTTAACTTAATAGTCCTAACAAATGAAGGAATAAAGTAACAACTCGGCAGCAGTAAAACTGTAATCAACAATGAAAATTATCCAATCTGAATGTTAACTTAATAGTCCTAATAAATGAAGGAAAAAAGCAACAACTCAGTGGCATTAAATTGTAAACAATGAAATGCATCCTATCTGAACGTGAATTACATTAACAACCCCAAAATTCTACTAGCACTCATACAGATACACTTAATGGAGCATTCCAAAATTTAGGCCGAGCACATAGAGAACTTGATACATTAAAGTGCAAATGAGAAAATCATCGTACATTTGTCTAGCTGAAGTCTTCTTCATCCTGGAAGCTCAAATTTAATGTCTGTAACTTGAAGCCTTTACTTTGTATCACCTCAACCAAATTTGAAGCCACACCTGTAGCTTGCACAGTTGTTTGCTTTGTCAACTGCAAAGAACAGAGCGGAATGAACTTAAAAACTGTTTGAACAGATACTGAGACGATATTATAATTAAAACTAGCAGAACCTGCATGCTCTATGACTTGCCCCCAAATTGGGTTGGGAAAAAGGGGAAGGAGTGCTAGTTGACTTCAATAATCAACTAGATTGGGATTTGGACCAACTTATTTATATCACTTTGCTTCCTAACATTGTAAACAGTTGTAAATTTATATAAGTAGTTAATGATACTTGTGCTTTCCACCCTGAGATCTAAAGTTACTAAAAAAAAGATCAGGTTAGCTTACCTCTACACTTGCAATACCTTCAAGAACTTGCACTTTAGGTCTGCAACGCCCTCTTTCCTACATAACGTACATAGGAAAAGCAAAATGCAGGTGAAGATGCAGATCTTCGAAGACAATTACTGAATGTCAAAGATAGATAACCATCCCCATTATGCAAATCTTTAAAACAAGTTTATCAGTTTATGGAGAGCAAAAGTAAAGCCGAGAGTAAAAAGGCTAAAAGAAAGCGCCAATACAGTAAAATCTCCTTCAACTTGATCCAAAATTTACAAATGAAGCTAGTCGATGACGGAAACGTAAAACTGGCAGTAGCAGATACGCTAAGGCAGATGAAGATTCCAAACCACACGAACTGAACAAGGAAGGCAGTAAGATATACCTCTAATGCTTTTGTAACTGTGAATCGCTGTCTCGTTCATTGTTCCTTCAGCCTGTACAATTGCGATTTGAAAAAGAAAATGATGACAAGGTTGGATAATTCTGCCATTATTCTACAAATTACGGAATTGCAACTAGTAATGGTAATAGTAGTCGCCTCGTTCAACCCCCCCCCCTTCCCACTCCAAAAAAAAGAACAACAGCAACAACAACAATGGTAATAGCAAATAACTAGTAACTGAAAATTAATAAAGCCAAAGGGGTACCTGAAAGAACATGGTAAGGATATCAGAAGGCGAGACGGTAACAGAGACAGTCTGATCGGTGGTGGGCTGCTGGCGCGGAGGAGTAGGACGCTGCTTATCTGCTTGCTGTTCAGCCTCTGGAAACCAGGGTTTCGTCTTCGGCTGCTGCAACAAAAGAGCGTAGCTTTCTCGTTGTCGGAAGCTTTGTCAAAATAGGGGAATAAATGGCAGCAAAAAGTAAAGGAGAAGCAATGGAGGTAGTATGGTTTGGGAACCGAAAGAACCGAGGTCGAACGCCAGTAGGTGAAGTGGTGGGAGAGGAAGAAGACGGAGAAATGCTTCTGCAAATTGAAAATGCAGCAGATGAGGTCATCATTGTGTTTGCAGTTGGAACCATTTGTTCGTTTGATGCGCTCACTATCTACTGTGTTAAAATCCACACCCGATCCTGTATGTTATCGCCCGCGGTCAAGCTAAGTCCCGTGGGACCAGTTTGGTTTCTCTATGCCACTAGTCGGTACCAAATTCAATGTCACTATTCGGTACCAAATTCAATGTTAATCCCACTTATCACGCGATGATAGAAGAAATTTAAATAAACAGTACATGACAAATTAAATAAACAGAACACTTGACATAAATATAAAAGTGACACTGAATTGATACTGAAAAAGTGGCACTGAATATCCCGTGTGTGTGGGATTGGTTTTATTCTAGTTTCTATTACTTGCTTCTTCTTCTTCTTCTTTTTTCTTTCTTTTTAAAGTCCGGGTAGATAAACCAAGTCCCGTGGGACTAGTTTTATTCTAGTTTCTATTATTTGCTTCTTTTTTCCCTTTCTTTTTAAAGATCGGGTGGAGTGATTATTATCACTAGACGTGGGTAAAATTATCCGCTAATTCAAAAATTCGTCATATTCGATTTAATCTGATCCGAAAATTAGAATATCCAATCTATATTAATTGATAGGGTCAAAAGAGGATCGAGTACCTGCTAAGATACGAGACGGATTAGACTTATATAATTAAAAATTCGCGTATATCCTACCCGTCCCGCATATATATATTTTTATTTTTCTATACATATTACAAAATAATATTTTTGAAGCTAAATAAGCAATTATATTGAACAAATTGTATTACAAATACGAGATATTATAACTTATTCACAAAATTCATTTATAGAGGTCATGATCTTATGTTTTATAAAAAAAAATTTAATTAATGTGAAACATATATTTAAAAAAATGTGCTACTTATTTCAAACTTTTATTAATTTTGAATTCTTTTAATTTTTTTTCTTTTTTTGTATTTTCTTCTCATGCTTGTTTCTTGGTGGGACACTTTTTTTGCGAAAAAAAATATGTATTCAATTTTGGATGAATATATAAAATATAAAATTAAATTAGTATAAATTATTTTTAAAAAAAAATTAATAAATGGAGCGGGACAAGTACCCACCCCATATGCAGATACCTTATAACCGAATACCCGCTGATATATCAAAAGTAAAGATAAAAAAATGACTGACCCATAAGATACGGATCGGATCAGCCAAATAATGAACAGAACGACACTCGACTTGCACCCACCTTAATTATCACTGCAAATCAAAACACAGCTCGAAAACTATAAATCTTTAATAAAAATTCTTACATGTCGCCCCGTTACAACCATCCAAACCTTACCCGGATGTGTTGTACTGGGCCGCGTCCTACTAGTGCTCCTATGCCACGTATTGTTTTTTTTTTCTGAGCTTTTTTCTCCCTAGACATACATCACATCTTTTTGCCAACGAGTTCATCATCCCTTGGAACTGCACAACCCAAAAAACTGGAGTAGAACATTGAAAAAGATAAACCATTCGCGTATTATACATGTAATTGGATTAATTTCTGTTTAGCCCCTAGCCCCCCAAACTAAGACAACTGTCAGTTGAAACCTTCAATTTCAATTTTTATTTTTTATCGTCTTTCCCTCTTCCCAAAGCATCCAAACCCATATAAATGGAAGGAGCCTATAAGCTGTAGATACCTCCGCCTCAAAATCCAAAAAGGGAAAGAAAAAAATGAATACCCTGAGCTGAGCAAAACCGGAGTCCCCGACTGATAAGATCAGTTATTTTAGCATAAATATTCCATAAACTAAATAGAATTATAATAAGAACTCATTCACAACTAACATTTTAAACATGTACAGACACAAAACCAAGTAGCTCTTTGTTCTGAACCAGACAACAGCAACAACAAAAGATGTCTGGCACGATTGATTCCCTCCTTCAAAGCTTAATGGTTGGATTGCTAGAGGCGTTTCAGCTATTTTACGTCACAATCCACTTCAACTTCTCCACCTGCAAAGGAATCCATGTCTTAGCCATGCTCTAAAATGCAAAAGGAAAATAAGAAGCAGAGCATGAAATGGCCTGCAGAGTCTTACTCTTCAAATATATAGCTAGATTTGCCTGGGCATCAGCTTCGGTGTTGAACTCCTAGCAAATAGACAAGAAAATAACTCGGAATGCAGTTGATGCACAGAGAAAGATAGCGATGACGTGAAACAGATATCATGCAATGCTATCTTAGGGTAAAGCTACTCTTTCATCTAAAATCTAACACCACCAATGAACACCATATAAAGAGTCCAATTCAAGCAACAGGTTCAAAAGGAAAAACCTGTTGATCCTACATTGAGGTACAAACTAAAGAAATTTCAGAGGAAGAATATTATAGATTTTCTGAAATTGATTTTCATCCAGGAGCGGTAAAACCAGTAGGTGAGACTATTATTATCATGTCTACAAAAATATGCTAGCCTCTCAACAAAAAAATAAAATAAAATCTTAGCAAAATTGACTGATATGAATTTCTTTATCCATTTCTGAGAGCTCCAATAATCTACAAGAGATGCTCATTCTTACTCTGTCAATATGATTGATATCAAAAGTCTGAAACTGATCCTTCAGCTCCTTGGCCACCTTGCACAACTCAGCCATGTTCTGGTTTTTGCATTTCCAAAGACCCTGAACCTGTTCCATAAGAATCTTTCAAGTAAGTTTACAGAATAATTACAAGGTCCTCACACCGGAAACATAAACGAAATGAAACCAAATCTGATACGTGACAACATGCTTAAAATCTTTAACAATATTGAATCACAAAATAAAATCAGATAAAAGCAAGTACACCAAAAGCAATCCAGGACAGCACCAGTTCCTTTAAGCTTAACAGGTACTAAGTAATGGCAAGAAAAAAATAGCTTACCAAGACACCTATAGATTTGGCTCCTCAAGGTTTATGTGCAAACTAAATTCAAGGTATAGAAAAGCCACAAGGGATATTTGGAAAGAAGACCTAACTTTTCATTGAATCAACATTTGTCAAGACCAAGTAGCACTAACTCAAGACAAACGTTGTAAGAATGCAGTTTTTCTATGCATGAACAACAGAAGAAGAACACACAAGCAAGGTATTCTTCAAAACTGACAAGCACATGAGCTAGTGCATTTAAGAGTTGACAAGCAAGGCATTCTTAATAATTGGAAAACCACAAGGTAACTCTTTTCCAACATTTTTTAGCTCAAGTAATCAGGTAAAACACTCTAGGAGTTAACAGTACAGAGGTTCCTTGTATTTCAGAAAACACTAATTGATGAGAAAGTACAGTCCATTTACACTTTAAAATGCAAAGGAGAACCAGAAAGACATAAACAAGAATCAAAAACCCATAAAAGAAAAAGAACAAATGCGTAGAGCAACAGGATGATCCTAAGTTCAAAATAGCTTTCAAGGTATCATGAATGGAACTAACCTGCATGCAGACAAGTTTGGAATCTCCTTGAACACGTATGTGCTTAAACCCTTTTTCAAGAGCAAACTTCAAACCTAAAATTGCGCCTGATATTCTGCAGCATTGTTAGTTGCAACACCCAACCTTCACGCAATCGATAAACCTTCCAAAATGTCATTCAGATTTGTGAGCTACAAGTTACTCAAAAAATAGCCATGTACAAAATATGAATATCAACATTTTAGGCATACCATACTTCCGTCTGCAGCTCGTACAACAGCACCTGCGCCAGCAAGTCCAGGATTTCCCTTTGAAGCACCGTCAAACTCAACAATACAGGAACACTGTATTTGTAATCAGAGTTTAACCTATTCAATATGCATGAAATTTGTATAGACTAGATTCACATTATATGCATTTATCAACTAATAAGAAGCACATTCTGCAGAAAACAAAGTCCTCCTGCATCAGCATTGAAGATGATTTTAGATGGATGGTTACTTCTTTATCCATAGAAAGGCCAGATATCTAAGTTCCAATTAAGTTGCTCATGCATAATGTAAACTTAGGGCACCCGTCTTCATATCTAGCTAGATGCGTATAAGCACAAAGTAAAAACCATAACCAACATCAGAGAAAAAGCCAGAGAAGGAT